CATGATATACAAGAAATATAGACCAGAGTCACACTATGAAATGGTTTTATCCACTGAGTCATCAAATTTTGCACATTGTACTAAGACATTATAATACGAGTGCACTTATTCTTGTGTTGTCCAGTCTTACTGGCATAGTTAATACTGCAACATTAAAACTGGACTTCCATTTTTTCAAGTTACAGTAAACATCATTTTTAGGATATTAATTAAAGAATAAGAAACTAAAGAATAAACTGAAAAATAATTTTTGCATTTTAGGTGATTATCTGTAGTCAGCGTAACATTTGAAAGCATTTGGCTGAAAACCACAAATGTGATTTAGATACTTTAATTAATTTGCTTAAACACTGCTGAACAAAAATTTGATGTGACAACTGCTTGCAGCTATTTACTAATTTGAGCATGTAAAACATATAATTGTTTCTGCCTCTCAGTCAGCACAATTACGTTTTTAGTTAAGATTTCTTTTCTTCTCTAGTGTCATACCTAATATTGGTTATCTTCCCTTCAAAACATGCTTTTAAAACAAAACTCTCAGAAACATAACTTTTGTTAGTAATGGTTTTTTTGGTCACCCTGACCCATAACTGTGATATTCAAACAAATTTTATTATTTCTTATGTTTTGGTTTTCACAGAATAACCATTCATCTCTGTATGTATATGAAATGTAATGTAATCAGTTAGTGTTCTTTTGTTGTTATACCAGTCGATAGACAAAACTATTATAGCTATTTGCTTTCCATTTATTTTTCTGCTCAAAGTTAAATATCCTGTAAAAATGGTAATGCTAAGCAATAAAATTTTAAATGAAAAGCACAAAACCACACAAGGAACTCTCACACAGATATAAGAGATTTATGGATTAGAATGCAGTTTAGGAACATAATCCTAATGATACAGCTTGTTATTTCATATAAAAATGTATTTAATGAAACCTATATCAGTATGTTGAATTCCAACATTGATTATAGTGATCATTTGAGATGCATTCTCACCAAAAAAGCTGGGTTCTTTAATGTTTTTAAAAATTGCTGATTCCCAGTGATGTGATTTCAATCAACACTCTTGCTAGCGTCCAGCTAATTCTCCCATGCATCTCTTGTAAGAAGAAAATGATACCACCCACGCATGCTTGTGACCTACACACACTTACTTAAAACCACAAACACCAAAAATATACCTTGAAGCTTATTCAGAGTTCCTTGGGATTTTTTCATTAAATTGGAAGAACTTGACCATAAGCAATCACCAAGGTCACCAAAATCCAGGACATTAGTAGAAGTGCTACTAAGAACACGTTTTTAAAAACAGTTCTTGGAAAGCAGGAGATCCCTGGTTTGCTCTCACAGAATAAAAGATTCTATCTCAGGTAAAACATCTCTACTATTTATAAATGGGTACAGATGACAACAGAATTCAACTCCAGATTAAATCTGCTCATAATATTTGACTAAGGTATCTTTAAGTCTTTCAGTTCTATTGCAAAATGTTTGAGAAATCAAAAATTTAAAAAAAGAACTGCCAAATTTCATGAAATGTACTAATGAAATTGCTCTGTGAGCATGAAGTTGAATTGTATGCTTTTGTTTATTTGGCTATAATTTCATGAATGATTTTCACAAGAAAATCCAAATCCAAATTCATTATTGCAGTTGATTAACAACAGAAGTTACTATCCTTTCAAAATATTTTTAGAAATAAAACTTCTTTCATAAAAATGTGGAATTCTTTAATGATCTTTTACCTTAGGGTAGACAAGGTTAAATTTTATTTGTGTAGGTACAAATTATTTCCTTGTTAGTTCAAAAAATAATTATTCCTTATGTTAGAATAAAGTTTTTCTTTTTTATTTATTTTTTTAAATTTTTTTTTAAAGGTTTTATTTATTTGACAGAGAGAGAGACAGCGAGAGAGGGAACACAGGCAGGGGGAGTGGGAGAGAGAGAAGCAGGCTTCCCGCGGAGCAGGGAGCCCGATGCAGGGCTCGATGCGGGGGCTCGATCCCAGGACCCTGGGATCATGACCTGAGCCGAAGGCAGACGCTTAACGACTGAGCCACCCAGGCGCCCCAAAGTTTTTCTTTTTTAAGATGCATGTATTAGTGTCTGCCTCCACACCACACAAACTTGGCCATATTTTATTTGAAAATGCTAGTAGGTAAATTAAGCCTGGTAGAGAAGAGAAAGTTGTAATAGACATACTGAGTTAAATAAATGCCATAAATTATTTCTTTTTGTTACCTCTATTTAAATCATTCTTAGTAGACTGTTTGTATGGGAAAAAAAATAACCTAAGGTCCAATTCTCCAGGTGAGAACACTGAAGATTTATATTTAACTGAGTTAACAGACATTTTAGCTCCAACGTATTTGTACACATACCAGAAGCAAGAATACAGTAAGACTGGTACTTGGGGCTGCACAGAGGATTATTCCTGCATTAAGCATTATATTTCACATCTGAGGTCCTTTCTTAGACACTAGGAAAAATATGTGGCCTCAGGCAAAGTCACAAAGGAATCCAAAACTGCCTGCAAGACCTTCTTATATCATTATTTCTTTGACTTTTCCCCCTCTGGAGGCAGTCTACCTTTAATCTACAGATTCTGGTACCTTCAGGTTTTGTTCAGCTTTGGTTAATTTACACTCTATAAAAATTCTGACCAGAAAGTTACCATTACGCTTTTGGTATCTCTGTATTTTAGAGTAGGCCAAAGCTGTAAGGTCAAGAAACAACTCTGTAATGGTACAATTTCAGGTCTTCAAAATTTCAGGGGTATTTGGTGATGGTGATATGGTAGGTTAGAGGACTTATCCATTGCTCTTACCACCAAGACCTTGCTTTACCACCATTAGGAAGTATTTAATTAAAACTAATACTTTTCCTTCTGCTCTGTAAAAAGTCAACCACTGAAGCAATTTTTTAAAGAAGTTGAAAGCAAATTCCCCACCTTCCCAACAGTATTGTTTATCTATAAGGAGTTGAGCTTGGACAATACATTTCAGTGGAACTAAATTCAGTTGAAATAACAAATTTACAAAAATGTGGATACATATAAGCACTTATGGAAATGCTGATTTTCTTTTTTCTGATTTCAGCAATCTGAAAAAGTAAATTTATAAATATATTCAGAGTAACTGAACAGGCAATGAGGAATAAATATAATTAGTGATCTGTGAGGCATATTTCTTGGCAGTTAGCAATGGATCTAGAAACAGTATCCTAATAACATAATTATAATTAAACCATGATGTGAAATAATTTTAAAAAATTAAAGTCTTTGTTCTCCCGCTTTGAATATACACACCAAATGTGTGGCAAAAAAGAAATGTTGGTTTTTCAATTATTTCAGCATTTTATATAAAAGTGATTAACTGGATAGTGTCATTACCTTAATTCTCCAGTTTGTGCTTGTGGAAAAGAATCTAAAAAGGGACCAAATTATCAATTTATTTCCTAGAGATATTCCCTCAAACAGAGTTTATGGATCAATAAGAAAATAGTGTCTTTTTGGGGTTCAAGGTGAAATAGAAGGGATTAGAGAGAAGTTGTTAAGTTTAACTACACATATATAGAGAAGAAAACCTAATGGCTGAAATTGTGGGACTCTTCTTCAGTGTTCCCGCCTCTCAGGATCTTTGAGGAAGACATGTCAATAGGAAAACTACAGAGTGGAACAACAAAGCAACTTATAATACAGTGAGAAAATAAAATGATGTGATGGGAAAGTCTGATCTGCTAATTTATGATTTAATGAGTCAAAAAACATTGAACTCTGAACTTTAATGACATTAAAAATATTTGATAATAGACATATACTGCAAATCAAATGTATTTGGACATATTAATACAGTTTACATATATTCATTTGAAAAATGAAAGATTAACATTAAAAATTTAAAGACCTTAATGTTAGAACATTTTATATGTTTTTATGTTATTTAAATATAATGCAACTTTGAGGCCAATAAGTAGTAAAGTTTTAAATGATGAGAAATCATTATACTCCATAAGGCCATTCATGTGTAACAGAGAATTTAGGATTTTAGGGGGAAAAACATCTAAGAATGGTACTAATATACAAGTTTGGAACAATTTATATAACAGTGATAACAATGGCATTTACATATATTGCTTTTCTTTTTAATCTGAACAATGGGCAATGTTCTAGTTCAGTGGGCAATTACAATTTTAAAAAATTAGACTTCTAAGAAAGGTAATAGTCTTCTATTTTAAAAATGCAGGTTTTCTGAAAGACAAATATTTCTTTTATGATGCGTTTAAAGATTATATTGACTGAAATGGAAAGAAATGTATTACTTCCTTGTCTTTCATTAATCGGAATCATATTCTTATAACTTCCTAGATAACTATGCTTCTTAATGAATATAATTTATCAACATCCATAGAGTAATATTTTAGAGTGGTTTCATGCTGAAGAAAAATGCAGAAATTCTAATGCAATAATTTCCCTATCTTGCCACCTGACAGAGTGGAAAAGAAAAAATGATCAAAGGGAATGTAGTAGGTACATTTTAATTACTATATAAAACTTCCTTTACCTACTGTTTATAAATAACTATTACTACCTTATGACCTGATTTAAAAGAATTCTATAAACTATCATCCAGTTTCTCCAAGAAATATGATAGTGTAACTTTTAAATAGAAGATTACATCTCGAAATGAAACCTCTCATTTCCCTCTCTATCCATATTTTGGCTTGAAATAACTTGTGTTTTTTTGTAATTATGCTTTAAATGTTTACAAATTAAGGCAGAGTTCTTTATCATTTGGGTTTTAGTTATAGTAACTTACAGATTTCATCACAATTAAGCCTATTAGGATAAGCTGTGAGGAGATAATTTCACAAACAAATTTTCAAAAGCATACAAGATTAATCCATATGCTGCTGAGATGAGGCACAATAAAGAAGCATTACTGAGATAATCTATGGCTAAAATGATGGTGTATGACTTATGATTAAGCTTCATTACCTGCAGAGCAAGGGGCTTCCATCTCATATTTTTCAGTAAAGCTGGTGCTGAGGTAAGCATGCTCTGAGGTCGCTTTTTCAAAGTTAAGATAACACCACTCGGGTCCTCTCGTAGTGCATTCACCAAATTTTTCAACTGCCACCCCACCTGGTAACCAGCAAAATCATTACAATAAAATTGAGGTACAGTATTCAAAGATTTAATGTTCTCCCCCTTTAATAAGATTAGTAAAAAAAAAAAAAAGAAAATCACATAATTGGTGTACCATCCTATCAATTTTCAGGAGATATATACTCAAAAAAGAAATTTTATCTCTGAATTGATTAACCATGTTATTGCATTAGAGTCCATATTATTATGAGATAACATAATGGACATTTACCATGTCAAAGCAGAGACTAAAACGGTATCCTACCAATGGAGTAATTTAGAGTTTAAAGAAATTATGTCATCATTAATGCTGTGCAAGGCCTAGATCCAAGCTCTGTTCACAAGTACAATTCAAAAATCCACATGCTTGAAAACAAGGATTTGGCAATGTCCTGAGCTTGCAAGCTATACCACATGCTTTCTCATCACCATCTTTTAGAAATTTGTGGTACAATTCTCTCTCAATTAGACTGAGTTTATACTACTGATAGCTGCTACTGACAAAGCAAGGCAACACTCTGATGCATGGCAGACAGCATCAATAGAATTAACCTTTTACCACATTATAAGGATAGAAGAAAAAATGACGTCACACTACTCCCATGCAGCAGCTATTGGAAATGTGTTCCAAATGACCCTATAAACTTAAAATATAATGTGCTGAATTTAATGAAAAGCTATTCTATTTGAGAATCACCTCAAAACATATTGTATAATTAAACCCAAGTACTTAATAAATGTCCTGAAACCTGGCTCAACTCTTTTCCGTGTTAAATTACTTCACTCATCATCCTTTTAAGCTTTTAAACATAGAATAATTAGTTAGTTTGCTTGAAGATGGACTAGTTATGCAGCTATCAGGTAACTGAAATCCTCTCACTATGCTTTAAAGAAGCACATTAAAAATAGCTCTAAACACATTTCACACTTAGAGAACATTTTATCCCAACTCTAATGGATTAGAATTTTCCAGGATGTTATATAAATACATTGGATCAAAATTTATCCTGGATTATAAACAGGATTTAACAAATAGTCTGAACAGTAATCTAGTTTCTTCCTAGGTACCCAAGTGCAAGGGAATGGGTGCCCTTGTCTGTTATTCATCATGTTTTTGCCTGGAAGATAATGATCAAGCTGAAAAGAGTAAGTACTTCCACGGAAAGAATCACAGATTCTGAGACTATGATGAAGAGATACTCTGGACTGCAGCCACTGTGGGATAATGGGAGACGGTGGTTTATAAAATGCATGGGCATTCATTTAAATCATAAGCTCTACTGCAGCTGAAAGGAGTGATGGTGAAGAGAAAAAGGACAAAAAAGAAGTGAGGTTCTACAACGCTTAAAAAAACTCAGGGGTCCCTGATATGAAGCAAAATGATCATTATGATACTTGCCTAACACGAATAAGAGGCTGCCAGTTAAAAAAAATCACATTAACGCAGATAACTAAAGTAATGAAACTGGTCAAATGTCTCCCATTACATATCAGTGAGGAGGGTTATGTGCCCAAAGGTGTAGAACATTGAGTCTGATTCCTCTGATAGCTAAGTAGTGTCTCTGCAGCCATTTCTATAAGCCAAGAGTCAAAGCAAAGTGAATTCAAATCCAAGTGTTCATTTTGCTTGCCAAAAAAATATGCAAGCAGATTTTTGAGTTCAAGGTTTAGAGGAGAAAACATGCTGTTTATACAAAGAGTTTATGAACAACTTATTAATGATAACCACATTTTATCATTTATTTTATTTATTCAAATAATTACTAACTATACTAAAACAGTCAATATGATGGCCATCTTTTTCTTTTAGCATATGTATTCTCAACAATTACACATTTCTATCCACCAATTTCTTTCCATTTTTTCCTGATACGATCATTGTGACTAGTTGAGAATTTCTAAGGCTAGATGGTGTTTTCTTCTATCATGTTCAATGCAATTTGATTCATCCTGTTCTTTCACACTTTATACCCTATTTGAATATGCAATCCCAAAAACAGAATTGTTTTTCCATGAGAAAGTAAAATTGTTTTTTTGATGAGAAAATAGTAATTTGGTTAGATTTTAATTTTATAGCTGAATGTTATTTAATGGCAGAAAAGTATATAATTTTACTATTTTTTTCAGTTTTCTTTTTTTTTTTCAAGTTTTATTTAAATTCCAGTTAGTTACCATACAGTGTAGTATTAGTTTCAGGTGTAGAATTTAGTGATCCAACACTCACATGCAACACAAGTTTTACTATTTATCAATCAGCCTTCCCGCTCTCACTGACATAGCATCAGCAATATTTTAAACAAAAGTAAGCAAATATCCATGAAGACCCATATAAAGTTATGTACCTTTGATTCCCCAATTCTACCTCCACTATCATAAGGAAATGATTTGGATAAAAGCAGAGATAAATGTGCAACATGTGTGTCACAGTACTGTTTAAACCAACCAAAAACTGTACATTATGTAAATGTCCATTAGTAAGGGATATAAAAATTGTTGTGTGGAAAAAAGGGAAGTCCCAAAATAGCAAATGTAACTCAACTCTACCTTTGTAAAAAATTTTTATATAAATATAGAAAAGATAGAGATACACAACATCATGAACTGTGGTTACGTTAAAGGGATAAGTATATATTTTCTTCTTCATACTTCTATTTCCTGAACTTTAAGTGATAAACACGTTATTCTTATAAACAACAAAATCAACAAAATAAATGGACTTAGTCCATGAATAGTGATATTCGTTAGAAAATCATTAATTTTATGAATTACTTAATGAGGACTGTTTGTTATGTAGGGACAATTTCCACAAAAAGTATAACCAGAAAGACAACACTATTTAAAACAGTAAAAGGTGGTGATGGGGGAATTACATCTTCTCTGTTAATTATACTTTCAGATGATTAGCAAAAAAAATTTATTACTCAGCTGTGCTTAATAAGAACTGTATTATCTGTTGATTTTGGTTCAGTGAATGATTTCAGCAGATACCTAAGTGTTAAATCAGGTTCACATATTAATTACTGAATGGGAATGAAGCTGGCTGAGCAATTCACAGCCTGTGTGTGACATTTTTCTCAGTAACAGAGGTAGGTTTTAGCTGTATCAGTCCAATCCAGGGCTTGTACACTCCTAAACAGCAACCGGACCTCACATCTCTCATTTAAATAGTCCTTTTCCTTAGACTTATCTCAAACTCTCTAATTTGGTTCATTTCTTCATTAGTTTCTACCTTGTCTACTATATATAATTCTTAACAATTGTATCCATTTATTGGGTTGTACCATGTTCTATTCAAGGGCAAATGTGACATGGTACTAAAGCTCCAGGAAAAATGATTCCCAGCTTTGGTTTTGTGATATCCTAACATATCTTCTGCCATATAATAAAGTGTAGTGAATTCTTGAAATTAACTTTTCTCTTTAACTGTTATTGAGATACTTATGGTTAACAGATTATAGGGGGACATGGACAGCTGGTATGATAAAAAGAGGCAAGTATGTGAGTTAGAACTTCATGTGAAAATAAGTAAAATAATCATTTTCTAAGATTAGCTTTCCATTTTTCCTTTTGTTGCTGGCTATATTTTTAAAATACTGTGTGAGAGACCCGCATTAGAAACCATGTAAGGATATAAAAGTAACTTTAAAAAATGATTGTCAAGTACTCTTTACATTGGCTGCAATAAAATCGTTTCTGTAGTAGAAGATAGAGGGAGATTTGAAAGAAGGAAGAAGGGATCCTAGTGGTGGCTAACATAAGAGGCTAATCCACTAATACAGAAAGGAATTAAATAAGGTACAAAATTTCAAGAGATAATGGGTTAAGGATACATGTGAAGAAAAATATTCTAATAATCAAAGACATCCAGAAAGGAATCAGCTGACTTGTGAAACAGTGAGCTCAATACCAAAAGCGATGTTTCAATATTCTTGCAGAGGCTAAACGATTACAATAGATTTCCAAAGTCATGATACATTCCAACTGTAATATGCAGAATGGGTAGCAAAATGCCAATAGATCATACAACAACAGATTAGGTCCTGGTACATCTCTGATTGCTGTGTTCTCCATCTTTTTTTCCTCCTCACAACCGATAAATGCAGGTGTTTACCCTAGGCTATTAGACTCCTTTCTAAAATTGCAAGCTGTCTTTTTACAATGGTCTCTTCTCTTCCCAAAGCTTCCACTACCAACTTTGTGCATATGCCTCTCAAAACTAATCATCCCTGCTTCCTAGAAGAACTCTAGTGGCATACTTCCAACAGTTCAATTCATCCATACTAATAGCTACTGAATAATCTGCAACAATAATCCACTATGCTATATTCTTCATAACTATATTACGTTGCTTTGTATTTTCGTTCTTAACATCTGTATGAGGGAAACTATTAAACCCATTTCACATGTGAAGAAACTGAAGCAAAAGGAGATTCTAAGTTTTCTCAGCCAACATTACAAATTTGGTTAAGTGGCAAAGCCAGAATTCATATTCAAGTCTGTTCGATTCTAAAGCACAAAGCATTATGAGAGCAAGCATGCCCCACCCTCTAGATATCCTATTGGTAATTCAAATGAATGTAACGTTTTGACAATAAAACTCATTATCTCCCTGCTCTCATTCAACATCAGTAAAAAAAAGTTCCCCATCATCATCTCAAATTTGGAGCATGGGGTCACCTATGACCACTTCCCCTCTTTTTAATCCACTTGTCCTAAAGAATAGATCCTAGAAACTAATGTCTCTTCTTACTGCCTTAGTTCTGGCTTGCTTTACCTGATTGCTAGACTTAAAATAGAGTCCAAACTGGTCTTTCTGCCTCTAGTCTTTTGTAGCTCCGAAATACTGCTACAGTGAGAAAGTGTTTTTCCCTTATAAACCTTTGAAAAGCTCTCTGAAGGCCCAACTAAAGAATCACTTCCTCAAATAGCTCCTTCGTCAATATGGCCACAGCTGTCTAGTCTTTATTTCACTTTAATGTGCTTCTCAAACTTTAGCA